CATTAATTTCTGATTTCAGAGTACTATGATCCGATAACATGCAAGTGATGATTTCAACTCTTTTGCATTTGTTTAAATATGTTCTGTGAGCTAATATATGGTCTATTTTATAGAATGATCCATGTACTGCTGTGAAGAATGTGTATTCTGATGTTGTTGGGTGGAACATTCTATATAAGCCTATCAAATCCATTTGTTTGCAGGTGTGATTCAGTTCTGTTATTTCTTTGCTCATTTTCTGTCTGGTTGATCTGTCCCTTGGTGTCAATGGCGTATCAGGTCTCCTGTTACAATTGTGCTACTGATAATTTGAGTTTTCATTTCTGTTAATAGTTGTTTTGTATAACTGGGTGCTCTGGAGTTTCGTGCATATATATTTAAGGTAGTTATCTCTTCCTCTTGGAGTTTTCCCCTAACGAGTATGTAGTGACCTTCTTTGTCCTTTATGGTCATTGTTGGTTTAAAGTTCACGTTGTATGCAAACAGAGTGGCTACTCCTGCTTTTTTTTGGATTCCTGCTGCATGAAGTATTGTTTTCCATCCTTTGACTTTCAGTCTGTGAGTATCCTTCTGGGTTAGATTGGTTTCCTGTAAACAGCATATGGTTGGATTTTGTTTCTTGATCCATTCTGCTAGTCTGTTTCTTTTGATTGGTGCATTGAGAGCATTTACATTAATGGTTATAACTGTTAAATGCTGGTTTATTGTTGACATGTTATCTCTCTGCTGTTGCATCTTTATCTTTCTGTTCTGTTTAATTATCTGCTTTGCTTAGTGGTTTCTTCCTTTGTGTATCTAAACTGTCTTTCAATATTTTTTGCAGGGTTGGTTTGGTGTTCATGAAGTTCTTCAGCTGTTCTTTGTCATGGAAGTATCGTATTTCACCATCAATTTTGAATGATAGTTTTGCAGGGTACATCAGTCTAGGTTGGAAATCATTTTGCTTTAGGATCTGGAATACTTCACTCCATGCTCTTCTTGACTTTATTGTTTGTGCTAAGAAGTCTGCTGTGATTCTGATAGGTTTTCCTTTATAAGTGATCTGTCTTTTCTCTCTGACAGCTTTTAATAATCTATTCTTGTGCTGGATTTTTGGGATGGTGATTATTATATGTCTGGGTGTAGTTTTATTTTCGTATGACTATTTGGAGTTCTATATGCTTCACTGATCCTGATGTAGTTTCTGATCTCATGCTTGGGAAATTTTCAGCTATTACTTCTCTGAATATCCTCTTGACATCCTTTATGTTGTCTCCTTCTTTTTCATTAATCCTTATCAATCTTATGTTATTTTTCTTTGCATCATCTTGCAGTTGTTTAATTGTTATTTCCTGATTCCTTGTTAATTTGAAAAGATCTTTCCTTTCCTGTTCAGTAGCTGCCATCCTGTCTTCAAGGTCTGAAATTCTATCTTCACTTTCATTGAGGCAGTTTTTACAGCTTTCAGTGAAGTTTTTTATTTCTGGTATATCTCTGTGCATCTGCATTATGTATTCTGTTTGTTTCTTATATTGCTCATCTAGGGATTCTATCTTTTTGTTTAGTTCCTCCAATTTTTTAACTTTGTTTTCTTTAGATATATTCCGAATCTCTTTCATTTCTTTTATCATTTCATCTTTTACCTGGGAGATTATTTCGAATTTGAATTTCTTTAAAGCCTCCAGGAGTTGCTTGTTAATTTCAGTAGCTATTGTGTCCGATATTTGAGGTGAATGGCATATATTTTCTTCTGTATACGTTGTTCCTAGGGCTTCTTGAGATGGTCTGGAGTTTTGCCGTTGTAATTTGGTCTTTCGTTTTGTTATTTTCCTATATTTCTGTGTTTCAAGTGTTATTTGAAAGCTTTCTCAGGGTTTATTGGAATTCCACTTCTATGTTTGCAGCTCCTTGGACTCTGGCACCCAGTTCCCGCAAGCCACTGGGCCTGTAAAACCAATGGCCCACTTCTGCCTGTTTAGAACTCTGTAGTTCCAGAGAAGCTCGGCCCCAGGGACACTGTGCGCCCTCCTGCTTACTGGAAGCTCCACAGTTCTCCAAGTGCAGGCGGAATGAGGAGGTGGATGTAGATGCCTCAAACCCACTTATGCACTTCACTACACCTGGTAGCCTGGAGGGTCCCGAACAGTCTGGGCTTGGGGCAGAGTGAACTGAGCACTTACCACAGGTCGTGTGGCCTCTGGAACTCGTGATGATTGCCTGCTTGCTGAGATATCCACAGTCCTACAGACACACAGGGAGGCGGATGCACCCGCCTCAGATCTGCCCAGCCCTTCCTCTGCACCCCGATGGTGTGGTGTAGCTGTCCCAGATAGGCTGGGCTTCGGCGATAGTGTGCGCCTGCCTGCTTGCTGGAAACTCCATAGTTCTTAAAGCGCAGCCGGAATGGTGAGGCGGAAGTAGATGCCTCAAACCCACTTATGCACTTCACTGCACCCGAAAGCCTGGAGGGTCCCAAACAGTCTGGGCTTTGGGCAGAGTGCACTGAGCATTTACCACAGGCCGCGGGGCCTCTGAAATTGATGATGATTGCCTGCTTGCTGAGATATCCACTGCCACGTTTGTTTTAATCCAACATTAAATTACATCCATTCAGCATCAAGTAACATTCCAACCTTGATTCACTTAACAAGAGTCAGTTTTTATGCCAATATGTGTGCTAAGCCCCATGACCTCTCTACAGGCGCTGGGTGACCCAAGTACTATGGGTTTTGGTGTTAGTGAACATTGTAAAGCCATCAGCTCTTATTTCTGTTTTTGTTCCAGTCTACATCACTGACCTTCATCCAATGCTGTGTGTATATGACATACTCACAGGGGCCAGAGGTTAAAAGTGGGGACAAGAGATAGAGGAAAGGTGTGGGGAAGCAATTTATAATTTGTCAAATATCTAAAATTAGTAGCGTCCCTTAATTAAAAAATATAACAAGGAAAAGTGCTGTGTCTTAGTTTTTAAATATTGGACAAGTGGGATGGAGTGTTTCCTAAAATATATTTTATAATTATTTTAAAAATATAATTGATACCTTGGTACATTTCATCCACATTTCTGAGTTCTCTTTCTATGGGTGAAAAAACTGAGAATGATTTAGAGTTTTCTGATGAATAGAAGATAGAGGGGCAGCATATTTTCCCAGCAAATATATGGATTTTTCCCACTCATTATCCCTGAGGTTGGTGGCTGTCCTGGTTTGCCTGGGAACATCTTGCTTTTAGCGCTGAAACTCCCCATGTTCCAGGAAATTCCTAAGTCCTAAAGCAAATCAGTCTGGTTGGATACTCTAAATAAACCCATAATCATCTTGATTAGTGAGATGTATTTCTAAGGTAATATTTAATTCTCTGTGATGGGTCATTGTTTGATGGAAATTTATAGCTTTGTCTGAAATATACACATGCACACACACATACTTACATACATAAATATATATACGCACTTTGTAGTAACAGTACAGAGTTCTAAAATGAGCTTGGATGCCTGTTTAACTGACCTAGAACTTGAGTGCTGGAAGGATCGTTAACTTTTTTTATCCAGCACTGATTTTCATGAGGAAGTAACTGAGGCTCAGAGAAGGTGTTTATTTATTGCCTGTGACCATTCAGGAGGTTAGAGGCTGGTCCAGAATGTGAACCCAGGCCCCCTTACTCTTTATCTTTTACTTTTCCTATGTGTGGAATATGTCTGAAAGGTGCCTTAGCCTCCTCCTTCTTCTTTTCTTTTTTATTTCTTTTCCCTGGTACTGGTGCTTGAACCCAGGGCTTCTAAAGTAAGTAACATTTTCAGTGTTTTCCTTTTAACTTGTCCAGGATCACCTTGAAATTGTGATCTGCTTGCCTTAGCCCCCGAGTGGCTGGGATAAAGGCAGGCATGAGTTTGCATGGAAAATAGAGCGGCCCAGTCCCAGAGAGACACTGATGCCCTTGGCGTGCGCTGCATTAACTTCTCTCTGGCCCTCCTCTGTGTGCGGTGATCAGTGAACACTGAGGAGCAGTGGCAGAGCCTTCTTGCCCCTGGGGAGGCCTCTGCCTCTTTAGCCACAAATACCATCCACACAGAGGAGGAGGTTCAGGCATGTGTGTATTCCTATGAAGCAGTGCTGTGATTTTGCTGTTTATTTTAATATTTGTAGCTTGAAATACTAAGCAGAAAACAGTATTTGCTGATTGCCTTCTGTGGAACTGGAAGAGGGGCACATAAATGGTGCTCGGTGCTCCCTCTGAAAGCCTTGCAGCACTGTCTGAGGCCCATATTTTATTTATAGATTAAGCTCAGAATTCTGAGCCAGCTTCTGCATCTTCCATCTGTTCTGTGATATCTTTTCTATCAAATCAGGAAAAAACAAACAAACAAACCTAAAAACAGAATCTTAAATTTAATATGAAAAATCCAGAACCGAAGTCAGTATTTTCACTGAGAGAAGCTATTCCCGATAGCTTTCTTAAAGTGGGGGAACCCTTCCCTTCTGGATAAACTGCAGCATTACGAGAGCACCTTTTTTTCTCACAGAGCTTGAGCAAGTCTAAAGACTCAGCTCCAAGGACCCAGTTGAAGAAGGAGATCATTAGGGAATTGTTCCGAGGTCTAGCTTTTGTTTCTTGACTAAATGAATCAATGGGAACATTTCAGTCTGTTATGTCTGTCTTCCCACTTTAAAGCAGAAGTCCTGTAATTCAGCAATATTTCATATACCGGGATGATTAAGGCGGTGAAGAGAATGTTAACTGCACCAGTGTCTGTTTAGTTTTAGTTGAAAACTCTCTCATTGACAGATCTGGGCGCTGGGACCTCTTTGGAATTAAACAGTGCCAGCTGATGATGGCTTTCTCACCATGCAGCTCTGGCTCAGAGTTTCTAGAGGAGAATGACTTGGTTTGGCTCAGCGTGGGAGAGGTCAGCTCCCCTTATGAGTGAACAATAGTCTGACCTCCGGGGCTGCAGGCTGCACAGGGCCTCTGGAGCTATGACTGGGCTCGTGATTACCACTTGTCTCTTTTCCATCAAGGGTGTCATCCAGGACGGAAGGATCATCTTCATGCCGAATGGGTACATAACACAGTGTCCAAACCTCAATCGCAGTAAGTAGCACCTGAATCACTTGTGGGTTTTAAATACTGCAAAGCTAGCTCATGGGGTCAGAGAAACAACCTCAGGAGGGCTCAGGTAGAAGCCAGTGCTGGCTTCTGGGACTGTGAGGGTCCTGGAAGAAAACTCATTATCTGTATTGTGTGTTTCTGTGTCTGTGAAGTTTTAAGAAGGTTTGCTTCTATACAGCATTAACATTTGGATATAGGAAAAGGGTTGTGTTAATAGGCTCTGTGTAAGACAGATATGTTCAGTGTTATGTATATGTGTGTGTTTTAAATATTACTATTACACCAAACTGTTGTTTAAACTTCTGGACCTGGATATGAACTCCCTTTTTCTCTCTTATAATACTTTATATTTTTTTCCCATCACCTCTCTATCAAAATGAGGGTTTGATTTTGAACTGTCATGTGGCCTTTTTAGTCAACAATCCCCTTTTCCTGTTTCTTTCTTTTTCTTATGAATAAAGAAAAAGATCCAGGCCCAAAATCCTCTCTGATTTCACCCAGATTTTACCCAAAAGAACAAAAACCCTCCTACCATCAAAAAAGGTTAAGATGTTTTAAAATTTTTTTTCTTACATTAGCACAAGATCAATATATATTTTATATTTTTTTTATTGAGCTTGCCCTACCTGCAGTGATTTCTTAAGCCTGGTGCAAGGAATCATGGATTTACAAGAGCTTTTGGCCAAGATGACTGCCAAAGTAGGTATTTGAATTTCACTTGTGATGTTCATTTCTTTTCCTGTCATATCGAGAGCTTAGAGTGATCTGTCATGATGGAAACATTTTTAGCACTGGCACCTGCAATATGTTACAACAAGAATGTTTTATTTTCTGCTGAAATTGGACTTCTTCTAGTAAGCATTCAGGCCTTTGATGCTCGTAGGCTGCATCTAAATGTTGTTCTTGAAAAATATTTGGAAGCAAGAGGCAATCTGTATTAGTGTAGATTCCCTATGAGAGGAAAAAGAATTTGCCCAATGGCTATTAACAGAAAACACTGTAAGATGATGCATGGTCAGAGCCACTCCTGCCTATAAAAGTCAATGCATTTTAGATATGAGTAATTGCCAACAATCACGAGGAGGCAAACTAGCTGTTGTTAGAATCAGATCACTGTGCTAGGAAGACCTCACCTAGGCTCTGTTTCATGACTGATCCTAAGTTGAACAAGGAAGAAACAATATTTGCCTTCTGACACTTTCAGCTTTTAAGATTCTGCATCTTTTCTTCCTCTCTATCACCCACGTAGCGAACATCTTGGGAGAAACTTCTATCTGCCAGTCACTGTGTTAGGCTTCTAGCTGCACTGATGAACAAGGCCTGACTTCTGCCTCACAAGTGGCTGCAGGGAGTGGCGGAGCCAAAATTTAAGCAGTTAGAAGCTTTGGTGTCTGTTCATGAGGTGTAGATTCATGATGAAAACCCTGCATTGAAAAAAAATAGAGAATGTGGCTGATGCTGTTAGGATACCAATTAGCTATGGATGTGGGTTTGGCCTAGGGTGAAGAGAGAATTAGGGTGAGCCTAAGAGACATTATATTCTGCCAGAGGAAGAATTTTAATAGCAGCAAAGATGACACATTTATTCTTTTCTACTTGGGCTGTGACTGCCTTCTCCCTTCAGGCAGGGCAGGCAGACAATACTCGGAGGGTTGCCCAGTGATGGGAGACAGGGCTGTGTGTTGGATTCATGGACTCCGCCCCTGAAAACAGTGTTTTCATGTAGAACTGGAATTTTAGTCAAACCCAGTCCCCTTTTGTCTGGGAGGTAGAAATGGGATATTTTTGCAAAGAGAAAGATGGAGTCTGGAGCGTGAGACTGAAGCGTCCGCCTTTACTGCACAGCACTGGAGAAATGTGAACAAGGGCAGATGTCCACCCTCCCAGCCTGCGGCCTGTGGAGGCTTTTATTTTACGTTGTCTGGAGCGGTCAATCTCAATACTGTTAGTTATATTTTAGCATGCTACAGATTTTGAAATCAGAAACATGCCACTCAGTCTCAGGCAATTGAGGGTCTCCGCAGACTCTGAGGATGCCCTTTTCTTTCTCTTTACGGGGAACCATTTTTCTCTTTTAGCTGTACATTATCTAGAAGCTGCAGGGAGCTCTGTCCTCAGAGCACTATAATATAAAATGGGCACTAGGGAGGCAGAAAGTATTTAATTGTGGGACACAGGGAGCAGAAGATGGTTTAATCTGCTTCCTGAACCCCACCTTCCTCCCCCTGGCATTTTGGCAGACTTGGAGTCTGTTCCTTCCAAACTGTGAAGAGAATTACAATTCTGTCACTGAGTACTTCCATTTTCATTGCATAATGTGTAATCTGTGGTAATCCCAAGCAGGAATTGTCAAAAAAAAAAAATTTTTTTTTCCGAAAATAGCCTGCCAGTAAACACTGGGCTTTTTAAGTTAAGAAGCAAAATTGAGCACATTATGTGTATAACTATTTCATTTAAATGAAATTATTTATAATTGGTGAAAACAATCATTGAAAAATATAAAAACTATTCTTAGCTCACAGAATGTTCAGAAGCAAGCGATAAACCAGACTGGGACCATGAGCTTCATTTTGTCAATCTTTGATCTAGAAGGAACTGGAAAGTCCACTCAAATGGGCCATACTTATTGAACATTTTGCATGTGTTAGTTCCAACTCCTAAGGATTTTAAATCAATTCTCACAATAATCTTGTAAACTGAGTTTATTGTCCTTCTTTGAGAAGGCCATGGCCCAGAAAGGTTGCTTTCTACAGGATAGTAAATAGCAGAGCTGGGACCTGAACTCAGGTACTAAGATTCTGAAAACTGATGTGACGGAGAAAGTTTATGGGTGAAAAAAAGAGGGATTAGAAAGAAAGTTAGAATCCATAAAGTGCTGCTAACTGTAGAGGGAAGGAGGTAACTATAGCGGGAAGGAGGTGGCTGTAGTAACACGAGGCTGGAGATCAGAGGAATGAGCAAATAAAACAGGCAAAGAGCAGCGCCTGTGTGATGGCTTGTGGAGCTGAGCTAGATTTCAGTGACTCCCTTTGGGAGTGAGAACAGAGCTGGCAGCAGCTCCTCAGGAAGGAGAGTCCAGGAACAAGGCCTTGCACCTCGCCTTTCGGCTCTGAGCTGCTTGTTTACCTTGGAAAGCTGTGGGAGGTCTGTAGTCTTGGGTGACACTGGGTGTGCTCTTGCCAGTTCCACTTGGGCACACCACGCACTGTGTCATCTGACTGCTGAGAATCAGTCCTCAAACCTGGGAGAGGCATGTGACTCCTCAGGGAAGAACTTTTAAGAATTCTGAGGGAGGATTCCACCCAGCATCCTGCCCTGCTGTAGCTGGTACTCAGACCTGAACAGAAAAGGTTCTCTCTGTGCTTTGTGCCAGGCTTATCTCCTTTGTGTTAACGTTAAAACAGGGTACAGCCTGGGGATCCCCCACTTTCCTGTAGGAGCTTCTTTTAAGACCCAGTTCTTGGGCTGATCTCTTTTGAGTCTGCTCCCCTCATCTGCACAGTCTTCAAGATAAAAGCTTATGGACAGGATGGAGGTGGGCTTTGGTGCTCACTTGGCTCTTGGGATCTCTGCTGCCACCTTCTGTTGACCTCTGTGCTGTTCTTCCTTTTGTGTTAGCTCTGTGATGCTTTCCGGAAGTTTCTGTTCACATACTGAATGTATTTGGTATGTATATGGTATTTTGCTCAGTTAGTTGCTGACACACTTCCCACTGTCTAGTCTGCCATGTTGGTGGAAGTGGAAGCCTAGCTCACCCTTCTGACAGATTGAAGGCTGCAGAGCTGGAGATGTGAGGCACAGTGCAAGCCAAACACGGTTTCCTGGTGGAGAGGGAAGTCTATGGCACCGAGTCCTTCTGGACTTAGCCCTGCCATTAGTTAAGTAAAGCTATAGAGGCAAGATTGAGGTGATGAGCTGGGAGCTGGGTGTTGGAAGTTTGGTTAAGTTGTCGGGTAGCCTTGACTGAGGTAGGCGTGCAGTCATGGATCTTGATGGAGGTAGGGAATGGGCTTTGGAGCCAGTCAGGTCTGACTTAGAGACTTCTTTTTACGATTGTGTGTTTTAATGTCACAGCCTTAGACAAGTTGTTGAATTGGTAGCTGCCACTTCCTCACACAGCTCCATTTACTCAGGACCAGGCAAATGAAGTTCTGTGCAAGACTCACCACAGCCATTGGCCAGCGGGTGGCTGCTGTGTTTATAGTACTGAACCGAGGACACTGAAGGGAGAGTGTGAAGGAAGATGGTCTTGAGAAAATGTGCCCTTTCCTGTGGCTTGGCATCGCACAGATTGGCAGAGACTGCAAGTTGTTGTCAGGGACTTGGTCTAGAACCAGTGCAGAGAAGTCTCAGGAAACAGCAGAAATCCCTCAGGCTTGAGTCCTGCTGGACATCTTGAAGCACTACTAGTAAGCAAGCTCAGGGTGCAGGCTGGACAGGAGTCGGCAGCCAGAACCATGTCAAACCTAAAGATAGAAGCTGAGTGTGGTGATACAGGCTTGCAGTCCCAGCACTTAGGAGGCTGAGACAGGAGAATTGCTGCGAGTTTGAGGCCAGCATGGGCCACAAAGTGAGCTCAAGTGTAGCCTGAACTGCATAGCGAAGCCCTGTCTCAAAACAAACAAACAAAAGTAACAGAAAGAAATGTCCTATCAGTCCAGGAATGTGTCTAGAATTGCCCACTCTGCCTTTTTTCTGTAAGGGTCAAGGATGCCGGTTCCCATTCACTGATATTCCACTGCCAGAGATGAGGCTAGGACAAGGCCTTCTGAGAAAGCCTGACATTTTTGACAAAAACTGCACACTTTCAATGCTGAGAAAGTGCAGGACAGTGACCTAAATTAGCAATGCTGCCTGAGGTTGTTAGCTGACAATTTAATCCCCCAGAGGCTACCACTGCCCCGGTTTACTCTAACATTCCCTCAGGTGGGCCACGCTGTTCCCCTGCCAGCCAGGAGTCTGTGGTAGCCTCAGGTGATCGAATCCCGCTCTTGGACCCAGCTGTACTGAAATGGCATTGTGCTCTCAAACTCAGAAAGAGGGCACATGAGAGACTGGAAAATTTTACATTATTGTCGTGTGTAAATCTTTGATAAATCTATGTGGGCAAGTCAAGGAGCACTTTTGAGTAGCAGGCTTTTCGACTTTAACATATTTAATATTGAGATTTCCATTATTTTGGAGGGCTCAGTCATAACTCAATAACGATTGTTTGATTAAACTTAAAGATTTCATAACAGCAGAAGCAGTGTTTTCCCCTTCTATGTAGCAAACATGAAATAAAGCGTATTCCAAAGGAGGAAAAGCAGTTTCTGCATGACTGATACACTCAGATCCATTCACTGTCCTCTTACTGTGCAAGAGGCCGCCTGTGTGTAGCTTTGAAGGTGGAGAGTGAAGAATAAGTTATTCAGCCGGTGTCTTCCAGATAAACACGGGACAAAGGTAAACAGAGCAGAGATGTAGATTTGATACTGTATCTGTTTTGGACCTGTCAGTACCTGCCAGAAAATGGCAGGCAGTGTAGAAACAGCATTTGAAAATGAATTCGTATAAATTCAATGCACTCATGCCAGTGACAGAAAATGTAATTTAGTTTTTGATTCAGGGTTGTATTTCTCTATTATTGTTGTTATAGGATTTAGGGGGAAAGGAAGGCAAGATTGCATATTAAATGCCTTTGATAATTTAGTTTTTTGCCTTATTATGCTTTTGCCTCTGTATCTGTCTGACATAGATATTATTCTAGAGATTAAGGCATTTCAGTATTGTCAAAAAAGCTAAGTACATGTAAAATTTTAAAAATCCATTATGTTGAAACTGTGGTTTTCCTCAGGAATTGAGTTATAGATGAACATAGCTCAGCTTTGATGGACCAGTATTGACAACTGCCAATATTCACCTTAGGCAAGAGCCTATTTTTTTCAGGATAGAGGAGGAATTGCCTTTTCGTCATTGAGTCTTTATGATGTTTCCGTCTGGGAATGATATGGGTACCAGAGTTGTTTCAGGTTTTCAGAATAAGGTAGGGATTCTCCTCTCCCAAGCAGGTACATATTCTGAGCCACTTTTAAGGATGTGTGGAGATCTAGTTCAGCCTCTTTTTGTTCCGTCCTCGGTCAGGCAGTAACCTTACTAGGAACTACTCAGGCTTCTAGCAGGGAAGAAAAGATAATAAGGAATGAGTTGCTGTTTCCTTTTTATTGTCTCTCACCTGTATGTGGTTGGTTCACTTAACCTTGGCAAAGTCTTGGTAATGTATTTTATCTGTGTTTCCTGAAAAATTCCTAAAGATCTTAATTAGCACAGATTCTAGGAACTCTATAATGAAGCTAGAGTTTTACATGAAACATTAATTTTGGGAAGAACCTACATATTAAAAGGAGCCATGGAAGCTGCTGATGTTTAAGTAGTCAACCCTTCGCTCTTCTGAGGCTGATCATGATGTGTGTGCTTTGTTGTGCATGTTATTTTCTCTGCCTTTGCTACCACCCACGAAACACAGGCAGTGGCCAGGTTTCCCTGAAATACTCCAAAAGCTTGGGGGAAGAGGAGGAGATGAATGACTGGTCTGAAAGTTGGAATGACACATGGAGCAGAGCACTGTCATGAGTCACTGAGAGAGTGACATGTAGCATGAGACTGTCTCACCCAGAAGGGTTGGTGGGAGTCACTGTTCCTGAGGTGCAGCCATCGCAATCTAACATAATGGTTCAAAATAATTTCGGGGGGTTCAGGGACTGAATCAGTTTCCTATATGGGAGAAAGACTCCAGACATGAATGCATATGCTGAGACTGAGAAGGAAAAGAGAAACCAGAAGATGAATTGGTGGGAAATGGAATTTGTTTCCTAATCATGGCAGTCTGATGTAAAGGAAAAGAGAGAAAAGTGATATTGCTCTTGGGCTGAATTACACTATAGCATGTCTGTGGCAACAGGTATCTCAGGCCAAAAAACTGTCTATATTGAGACTCTGTTTGCATTGTATTTTCCTTTTTTTTTTTTTTTTTTTTTTTTTTTTTTTGGTGATGTTATGGACTGAGCCCAGGGCCTTGTGCTGTTGGGGAAGCTCTCTGCTGAGAATCCCTGGTTTGTGGTCTGGTCTGTTTGGGCTGAATGACCTGGGGAAAAACTAAATCTCTCTTTGATTTTGTTCCTCTGGCCCCTGATCCCTAGAATTTTATATTTGAGAGAAAGCAACAATATTCTAAGTGTGTAAACCATTGCACTGTGGTTAGTGTGTAACAGGGAGACGATGATAGGTGAGGAATGCAAGTGCATTTGAGCTCTTCCTTAGATCTCCAGTGAACACTGTAGTAAGGCTTTCCTTAGTGGGTTTCCGTGTAGGCTTGAACTGAAAGCACACACACCTTTCTGAACATTCACGAGGTTCCTGAGATACACTTCCACGTCTCACTTGGTGTTCATTAGACCATGAAAGTCAGCATGTTTTCAGTTTTCAGAGGTTCAACTTTGTGTTTAAGGGAAAAATGAAAAACCAAAAATAGATCTTGCTAAGAATCTGTATAACTACTTCGAACATTTTACTGTCGCCCTCTTCCTGTTTGGATATTTTTTCCTTGTTATTGCTTTGTTAGGATGACTGAATTACACAGATGACACTCTGTAACTCTCCTCCTGTAGCTGAATCATGCAGAGACAAGACTTAGTCAGTTGGAAAACTGTCACTGTGAGAAGACCTGTCAAGTGAGTGGATTGCTCTATCGGGACCAAGACTCTTGGGTTGATGGTGATCACTGTAGGAACTGCACATGCAAAGTAAGTACCTTTGGAAATGAGTAAGATAAAACCAGCTTTAAGGGGACAGGCATTTTAATTATAGCATAATTGAGTTCTTTAATATACAATGTCAGTTCCTTTCAATGTACCATCCCTCAGCAATTCAAGCAATTATGAATGCTGAAAAATGGTCATTTATCAGAATTCTGGTTTTTCTCACTACACCGTGTATAATATTAGTAAGAAGCTTCCTGTTTGGAATTTAGAAGTTGAGGTATAGAGGGGGAAGAGACTCTTTTGGTTTTTATACATCCTCATTGTTTTCTTTATCTAAAACTTTCTCAGCTAGAACGCATTTTTAAACAGCATTTAATTAGTCTCTGTGGGTTTTTGTTGTGTTTTGCATGGTATCTGTCATTTGTCTCAGAGAACTGCAGGATGTTTTCCTCCCTCCCTGGTGTCCATCATTTGTGTACTCCACCTATTTCAGACAGTTACGAGAGCTCCCTCTAAAATTAGCATTCAAGCTTTGTCCAGTTAGAATTACTTGATAAATATCTGAAGACTGCTATTGTTTGTCCAGGAAAATACAAAATGGATTGTTAGAGCCTCAGAAATGATTGACAGGGTCTACAAAAGGTGTTATTTATATTGGTGTAAAAATAGGCTTTTTGTTTTCTGCCTAACCTGCTTAGTCCACATTGGCAGGTGAGATGAAGTCAGTGATGTGTATCAGAAAAGTAATTGAGGTGACACAGGTTCTTCAGGGTTACAGAGATGCTTTATTTGTGTTCCTGGAGTGGAGTGGGTGCTCCTCACACTTGTCTCTTTCCCTGGTGAGGTTTGGGGGTGAGGTTGGAGCTCTCTCTGCAGCACGAGTGTTTAAAGCCTGCCTCTGAAATGCCGTTTGTCCTTCCTTCCTCAGAGCGGTGTTGTGGAGTGCCGGCGGATGTCCTGTCCCCCTCTCAACTGCTCCCCCGACGCCCTCCCTGTGCACATCGCTGGTCAGTGCTGTAAGGTCTGCCGACGTAAGTCTTAGCCAGGGTTCAGTGTGGGAAGCTCAGTGCTTTCAGGTATTTTTTCTGCTTTTCAGGTCCCAGTGCATTGACCGTGGAACAAAGTGCCTGCTGTTGATGTAATATCAAGTGTATAATGAGAAACACTGCGATATTTTAATTGCTTGTGATGCGGCAGATACTTTAGATGGTTTTGTACTTTCTTCAGAGGCTCCTTGCATGAACCTTCATTGCTATTCTCTCTTTCTGTATGGAGATGGCTTGTGTTCACAGGGATCCAGGCACTCGTGCAGGGTCACTCAATGGGGTAGGTGTAATTACTAAACAACTCCAGGGTTCCCTATGCTTCGCCTCCTAATTTTGAACAATCAAGTGAAGGGGCAAGTTCTGTTTTGTATTCTGAGGTTCTGGCTAGATTCTCTTGGTAGGGAGGGTTCTTAGCTGGACATTTTGGGATGAAGTTCAAGGTGCATCTTATATGAATGGGCATGTGGTTTGATCCTATTTTTAAATCTGCTTTGACAATCTGGATTGTTTTGTTTCCTTTGGGTCATTTCACCCATTGGTTTTTAATGTTACTAGATATGGTTACAGCCACTGTTTATTGTGTACCATATCTTCTCCTTGGTTCAACTCCTTTCTGTCACTGTCACCTTTCTGTCACTGAGACACAATTCCTGACACCCATTACTTAAAGTAAGAGAGGTTTGATTTTTCTGATGTTTTTGGTCCATGGTAGGGTGGTTCTCATACAGAACAAGATGGCAGAGGGACTTGGTGGAGGAAAAGGTACTGAAGCTATGGTGGCCAGGAAGAGAGGGAGAGAGAGGGAGTCAGACTCCTCAGAGGCATGCCTCCTGGGCACACCTCTCCCCCAGACCCCACTCCTCTCATAGCACAGTTCGCTCATTCATGGATCTGTCCAGTTGTTAGTATAGCATGACTGTCATCTGATCACTTTCCAAAGCCCCGTGTCTGTACTCATGACAGTCTGGGGGAACTCCTACATCTAAACCATAGCATTTGCTCTCAGTTTCCATTTCCCTGGAGAACTGCCTTAAGGAAATGTCTTATATGTGAACAGTGTTTTTCTTTTCTGTGAGTTTCCTGAGTTTGGTTTGGGTGAGGCCATATTCTAGGGACCACAATGAAAGGTGCCAATGTGACTCAGACAACAGGAGCCAATCTATGAAAGTGGATTGCTTTGTCTGCTGACTTCCTTTGTCTTCATTTGTTAGGAACAGTCTCAGGAGCTGGAGCACTTGCAGATGAGAGCTTCTGTTTGGAAACAGAAAAGAACTTTGTCTGAGCATCCAGGGTGGTCTAGGAAGTGACTGTCCTGTTCCACTCCTATCTATTTGTTGATATGTACTCTCTCTAAGGCATACTGAAAATGCCTCACGTTAAATATCCCTTGGTGAGCTTCATAAATCGTGGGTTTTCAGAACCCTCCTTAAACCTGCTGAATCAGAGTCTGCAGGCAGCAGACTGAAACCTGTATTGATTTGGAAGCTGTGTTTGAGATATGCCAGAAATGAGAACGAGGAGGGAAATGAATCTTTCAGCTACGCAACACATTATTTGTGAAGAAAAAGCAATAGTACAGGGAGAGGGAGACTGCTTGCCTGATGGCATTTATGGGAGTGAAGCAGAAATTAAGCTACCAATATGGGTTGGACATGAATGATGAAGACTGAATCCTATTTTATTTATTTATTTATTTTTAATTTTATTTAAAAGGAAAAAGAGAAAAACCAAAACAAAACAAAGCAATGTAAGGGTACAAGTAATATAGAACTACAAAAAAAAAAAAAAACAGTAAGAAATCATCAGTTAATAGATTACATATTATCATCTTAGAGATAGTTGCTCAAGTCACAGTATCAAAGCATACAAAGTAGACATTCAGACAGTGAGACTGCAAACAGTTGTGTTCAATGATCCAACCAAAAACATTAATATGGTCAGCTATTTAACACCCCTAAACACTCTTGGTGTTGTATCCTTTAGAGCTCTTTTTTTCCCTCTCTACTGAATCCTATTGATGACACTCATTAATCCTTGCTGAGATCGCTTGTCCCAAACACTGCCCTCAACTCTGGATGAAACAGTGCTGATGGGTTAGTCTTCCATTTTACATCAGGACTGAACTAAGTCATTTTCTATGTATTCATTCACGTAATTCTCTCAATAAGCCCAACTGGTAGTCCTCACTATTAGTGCCATTGTATAGGTGTGAGAGAGAGAAGTGCCAAAGCTGGTAACCCGGACAATCCAGATGCCATCTCTCTGATGCTCTTAAGCTATCTGTTCTACTCACTGCCTGCATCATCTCTGTCACCATCAAAAATGGCAGAGAAGGGACAGGTAACTTCATCACAAACTTGTGTATGAGGAGGGTGATGTAAACTTCATGGATAGCAGCTCAGGAAAGTATCAGAAAGTAAGTGGGAATCTGCTAGGCAAACAAGGTAAAACATACCTGCTAGAGGGAATCACACATGCAAAATCCTGGAAATAGTGCAGAATTGGATTTGGTACTTAAGAGCAAGGTTTTATAGCAGGGCTTTGGCCTCCTAAAATAAGTGCTTTCAGAAAGACCACCACATCAAGAGAGCAGGGGACTGGAGGGGGGTGTTGAATTTGGGTACATTGTGGGCAGAGGTGAAGAGGCTGGAAGGCAGGCAGCCTGGGGAGGTGCAAAGGAAGAGAGGAATGTGAGTGACAGCTGAAGGACCTGGCACACAGTAGCACTGTTTTGTGTGAGCATCTGTGAGGCAAAGATTGCCAGGTTTTGAACAAGATCCTGTGGGAGACTCATGGTGTGATTAACAGAAACAAGGCAGGGGAGGAAGCAGGTTGGGGACTGGTACATACGTGGCATGTTTGCCCTGGAGGTGGCAGAGGGACAACCAGTTTGATGTGAGTGTCTTGCTCAGAGGGTGGTGTTTGAAGCCTGAGCTGTGAATTAGCTGCCCAGGAGGAAGAATCCCTGGGTGCTCAGCCTCTCTGATCTGCCACTCTCCTTTAAAGTGTGAAGCAGGGGCCTGAATTTGATGGTCTACACTGCTGAGTGCTGAGGGATGGCTGGAGTGTGTGCGGATATCTAAATAAAGACCCAGCCACATCACAGCCTCACCTGACAGGGGCGTCCGGCTGTGGCCCTAAGTCACGTATTCAGTGTGCACCCAATGGCAAAAGCGTTAAATCCTTGCACTTGAAAGAGAAACCAAGGTCAAATTGGGAGGGTCAGGTGTTGGGGGATGCAGGAAAATACAACTGCGTGACTCTCTAAACTCTGGGCACATTTGTTTCTGACATCCTGGAGAAGTGTGTGTTGGTGGCAGGTTTGAATTTCATGGTTGGACACCGAAATATTTCAGTTTGCATGTCCCCGTGTGTTATGAAGGGCTCCAGGTATCCATTTACATTTCTGCTTGTTCCAAAAGCTGTGGAAATGAAGTCCCAAGGTACCCCAATGAAGCCAAGGGTACCTGAGCCTGACCCCCCTTATGCTTGAATTTCCTTAGACATCAAAAGTAAGCCTTTGGGCTATAGATCAAGAGGCTTGGCAATGAGGACCCATGTTAGGTGTAGGGAAGGCAGTGGCAGGTGGAAGGGGGCTTTCAGACAAACTGGGATGAGACTGAGAGAACAGGGGAGATTCTCGTGGCCTCTGGGGTGAGCTAGGTAACTGTACGGATACTTGTTGTCCTAATCATACGTGCATGCTGTGCCATTGCTAGGCGCGCAAATGACCGAAATGCAGGAATGCGTTGGTAGCATTTGCCAGGCCCCAGACACCCTGCTGGGTAAGGGTGCAAAGCTCAGTGGACCTGTCATTTTTATACCAGTCCAGTGCATTTCAGGGATGGACCTGTCCCTGAGTAAGGGGGTGCTGCAAACAGCAAGGCATTCTTGCTTCCACAAAGGAGTTCCGGGATGAGTCTGTTAAAGTCTAACAAAGAAATCAGGCAGATGCTTTCAAAGGGGGTCCCAAGCATGCTAATGCCATTGCAGGAGTGGCAGGGGGCAAAGTTGGAAGGAAAAATGCTTCTGCACTTTCCAGCCTGGGCCAGGAAGAGATGGCAGATGTGACAGCGGAGCTCTTAGCAGAGCTGTCTGTCACTCTGGCATGAGCCACCTTGCCATGCTGGCAGCAGCTGTGTGTGGGAGTATGGGAATTTATCAGACAGGAACTCTAGGCCCTGGAGATGTGGTCTCTCTATGCAGATAAAGTTGGGAAGTCCAGATCATCACTAAGCCCAATGAGCCTTGGTCTATTAGTCTTATCTAATTATCTAGAAAAGTAAGGCATAGAAGGTGGTCAGGGAAGTATATATATTTTTTAAACAAAGAGAGGAAAAGGCCAATTTTGTGAACCATATTGATTTTCCTTTGTCAGTTTTTTTCCCCACTGAAATGTTTGAAGTTGCACTGAAGAGCAGAAATAACTTTATAGGTTTGAACCAGGAAATTTGACAGACACTTGCTCCTGAATGTAGTCTGTGAACCCTAAAACTGCTGTTACTAACGATAAACTTCACGAGGCCCTGGCTGGGCTTGAGGCTGGATGTGATGTTGGGAAAACCCCTTCCCTCTGGGCGGTTACAGAGAGCAGGGAGCTATGTGATTACACATGCAATTAAGACTGTACTGTGACACGCAGTCTGTTAGGGGGTCGTCAAGTGAGTACAGCCTCGGGCACAGAGAGGGCAGCTAAGCCCTGGTCAGGAGCAGGCGCAGTTTCCTGGGGAGGTGAGGGCTTCCCCAGGGCTGGCAGGTGAGAGGCCCAGAGGCTGGCACTGCACCAAGCAGGGCTGCTCATTCCTGCAGAAAATTAAACGCAAAGCTGGAAGTGAGAGGGACAGAGTGGCTGGAGCAGGTGAGGCAGTGTAACTGTTCCGGGGAGGTGAGCAGAAACGCAGGAATCTGCGAGCTTTGAGGTTTGAGACGGGGAGAAGAGCCACAAGAATGGCCTTGTGTGCTGAGAGGAATTTGACTTTATCTCGAAGGCACTGGGTCCCCCTAATGCTTTTTAAGGAGGACCTCATATTTGCCCATAGAAAACATGCACCTGGCTGTTGTATGAGGAAGGACTGGGGAAGACGGAGGCTGGAGCACAGGGGAGCCAGCAGGCCCTGTGACACTAACTCAGAGCTGATGATGGCCGAGTGAGGACAGTGTCTGGGAAGTGGAGAAAAGGAACTCATGTGGAGAAACTTAAAGAGGAATGTGGTTAGTGTGTGGACACACTAGTCCATCTCTAGTGTGATGGACAGTCAAGGCTGTTGCTGATACCATTCTCTGAAAGGAAAGTGCCAGAGTGAAATACATTTGGGTGGAGTGTGGGGCTGCTGCAGGTCAGGCTCTGAGGAGCAACAGACTCTGAAGCAGAGATTTGTGTGTGTTTTATTAGAAAGGGCTTTCAGGGTCAGCTCTAGGGCAGGATGAAGGTGTAAAAGAAGCACAGTTGGGCAGAAGGACAAGTTGAATTTCAAAGTAGTAGAACAGGCTCCCCAGCTGCTCCTGCAGGGGATTTCACAACTGGAAATTGCCTTTCAGAGTTGTCCTGAGTTGGGGCAGTGGGGCCAGGACTCTGCCAGGTTTTCTTCAAACACTTATGTGATCCATGCTACCCCCAGAAGTTGACCTGACCTTGGGCAAGGTGTGCTCTCCAGCCCAGCACAAATCCTGAATAGGTAGCTGAGATCTGTGGATTGCCAGATTGTCCCACAGTGGCTAGAATATGTCTTTTGGTCAAGAAGGGGCTCTGAGTAGCTAGCTCACTGGTGCATCCACTGCAGAGGTCTAGAATTAAGTAAATTAGTCTGACTTTCCTCCTCCTGTGGATGGAAAGAAGGGGCTGGAGCAGCTGATTCTAAAGTTCTGCATACTCAAACATTCCATGACAATGAGAAAACCTTAGAACTAGAGAGCTACCCAGTGTGACCAATCCATTTTAAACATTTACAGAAATAGAGGTTCTGAGGCTAACATTATTTGTTAGTGGAAAGTGAGCTCTCAGAATAAATGTCTCTGCCTCTGCTTCTCCTGAGAGCAAGAGCTAGTAGGATCCTCCTTGGGGCAGAAAGGGAGCAGTCAGGTCTCGGCTTCTTTGTTCCTCTTGCACTGGCTGCAGAACTTCGTGAACTCACATTAGGGTCAGATCAAACTGACATACTCTGTAGTTACTTGAATCGAGTCAGCAACTTAAATCATGGACAGAGCTCCAGTGGAATCTAAATTGAAGCTGCACCTACACTTCTCTCCGAAATTTTCTACAAGGCCTTGTTCCACCCCTGCCCTCTCTATTAGCCTGGCAAGCTCGCCTTTCCACGGGTGGTCTGGCTGGGGCACTGATGTAGCAAATGGACTGGCTTGTAGATAGGCTAAGGACAGCTGCCTCCCATGATTACAGGAAAATAAACAACATCCTCACCCACTGCAGCCACAATTCTGATAGGCGGAAGATATATGAGGCCCTTTCACTCAGGTGCTTGTTCCACAGCTGGAGTTTCTGAGTCAGACCCCTTCTAACTGTACCCTAGGTGATGGCAGCCAGTTCTTCTGCCTTTTAACCTCTTCCTGTATCAGTTCATCCTCTCGTTCCTTTGGCAACTGCAACATTGAAGTAACTGCATGTTTCTGGTGTGTGGGCAGTGGAAACTGAGTTAGAATGAGGCTCGTCATGGTGGGGGTCCAGGAGGGTGCCCTACAGTATTCTTATGCTGTTCTTCAAAGAGATCTGCACTGCTTGGAGGCTGAGAATCTGCCTTGGTGGAGTCTATTGGAGTTGGATGGTACCTCAGAGATGATGTGGTTACATCACATGACTAGCTGATCTATTTTTCTGTTTTATTACAGCAAAATGCATCTATGGTGGGAAAGTTCTTGCAGAAGGACAGCGGATCTTAACTAAAATCTGTCAGGAATGCCGAGTAAGTTCTAATCTCACGATCCCATTGCGAGGAGATAGGTGGAAGAGTGTTGTGGGCTTTTGTTAGGTTCTTGAATGGGGCATCTTGGGCGGGATGGGTTGCTGAGGGGCAGAACCCTCTAGATGCTGGGATGGGGTAGAGCACAGGGTGGGCACAACCTCCATTAGGGTGTGATCAGCCGAGGTCAGCTGAGGATCAGGTAGCCTGGGACGAAACCAGTAAAGGGAAAGTGGCTGAGGAGATTGAGCAAGGCAACGAGTAGTAGGAGGTGACACTGTAGGGACGCCTTGGGGACAGAACATTTAAAGGCTTTTAGGACAGGGTTTCAAAGTTCCTGTCGTTTGATTTTCTTTTTTTTTTAAATTTTATTTAAAAGGAAAAAGAGAAAAAACAAAACAAAACAAAGCAGTGTAAGGGTACAAGTAATACAGAACTACAAAAAAAAAAAAAAAAAAAAAAAAAAACCAGTATGAAATCACCGGTTAATAGATTACATATTATCATCTTAGAGATAGTTGCTCAAATCACAGTATCAAAGCATACAAAGTGGACACTCAAACAGTGAGACTGCAAACAGTTGTGTTCAGGGATCCAACCAAAAACATTAATATGGTCAGCTATTTAACACCCCTAAACACACTTGCTGTTGTATCATTTAGAACTCTCTTTTTTACAACAAATTTTACACATTTTGGGTTTTATTACTCCTTAGTTCTTATTACTTTTTGGGGGGGTGGAGAGAATAAATCAAATATGGCAAAACAAAGCTGTCAGTCAAAACCAAGGATAGACATAGCACATGATGTAAAACAGAGTACAAGGTCATCAACAATGGTTATCAACAATGTCTCTTGTTTCCTTGAAAAGAATTATCTATCTCATTATATATTTTAAAGTTGAACAAAACAGTAGAGAACAAGACCAATAAAACTTAAGCATTGTAAACATTACAGGACTTCTAAAGGAGACAATAGTCAAACCAGAATGGGCATCTTAGTGAATCTTATTGCCTTCAAAGTAGTTGCCTATACCCTCAAATTTGATACTATCATACAGAACGGAACAGAGTCTGATCAGTCAAAACAAGATAGTGGGAGTATTACAGGACTTCAAAACAAGTTAATAGGAAATCAAAAAAGTTACTATTATATATCCTGCTAATTTTTTAAAATTTTTCCCCTTAATATAAAAAACATAAAAAATAACTAAATAATTCTTTAATGAATAAGGCAGAGATTGAGATAAAACAGGACATAACAATATAACAATATAGGTCAAAGCATGACTGTTTCAGCAAACTAGTGGTTCACCACCAAATAACCTGACTTAATAGTAGTTACCATAGTGTCTGTCTTTTTCCTTGAAATATTTGAATAAAACTTCATATACTATAGCTTCAAGTATTTCCATATCAAGAAGCCCAGAATAAAGCCTTTCTAATTAACAAGTGAAAACTTTATGAGGCTTCAAGGCCACATAATGGGGAATCAGGATTACCACATATTTTTATATATTTGAATCATTACTTACATTAGGGAAATTACTCGGTATTCATACATGCAAGATTGATTTATTTCACTTATGAGTATGGTCTCAAGCTGCGCCCATTTACTGATAAATATCTCAATGTGATCCTTCTTTATAGCTGAATAATACTCCATTGTATAGAAATACCACAACTTTTTTATCCATTCCTCAGTTGATGGGCACTTGGGTTGTTTCCAAGATCTGGCGATTACAAATTGTGCTGCTATAAACATAGGTGCACATATATCACTGTGGTATGATGCTTTCAGTTCTTCTGGGAATATGCCTAGAAGTGGAATAGCTGGAATAAATGGGACTTCCAATCCTAGCTTTTTGAGAAATCTCCAGACTGACCTCCACAAAGGCTGCACCAGTCTGCACTCCCACCAACAGTGTAGGAGAGTTCTTTTTCCCCACAGCCTCTCCAGCATTTGTTGTTGGTGGTTTCCTTGAACCTGGCCATTCTTTCAGGAGTGAGATGGTATCTCAGTGTCGTTTTAATTTGCATTTCTCTAATGACTAATGATGATGAACATTTTTTCATGTATTTATTTGCCACTTGCATTTCTTCATCTGAGAAGTGCGTATTCATCTCAGATGCCCATTTTTGTATTGGATCTTTGAATTTTGGTGGTCTGAGCTTTTTTAATTCTTTATATGTTTTCGACAGGAGTCCCTTGTCTGAGAGAGAGTTCACTAAAATCTTTTCCCAGTTTGTGGGTTTTCTTTTTACCATGCTGGAGATTTGTTTTGACATGCAGAAACTTTTTAATAAGAAGTGGTCCCAGCTATTGATTCTGGGAAGTATTTCCCATGCGGTTTGAGTCCTGTTCATGAATTTTCTACCTACCCCTATGTCTTCAAGGTTTCTACCCAATTTGTCTTCCAATAGATTTAGTGTTTCTGTTTTAATATTCAGATCTTTGACCCATTTAGATTTTAATTTAATACATGGTGATAGACATGGGTCTAGCTTTAGTTTTCAGCAAATGGAGAGCCAGTTTTTCCAGCACCATTTATTAAAGAGACTGTCATTCTTCCAGTGAACCTGCTTGGCTCCTTTATCAAAGATAAGGTGGTTGAGTGTGTTTGTAGTTGTGGTTGTGTCTTCTAATCTATTCCATTGATCTTCGGCTCTGTTTTGATTCCAATACCATGTTGATTTTACTACTGTTGCTTTGTAGTATAACTTCAAGTCAGGGATTGTGATGCCTCCTGCTTTGTCTTTGCTGCTTAGAATTGCCTTTGCTATTCTAGGTCTCTTCTGGTTCCAGATGAAATTTAGGAGTGATTTGTCTAGATCTATGAGGTATGTTGATGGTATTTTTATTGGGATTGCATTGAATCTGTGTAACAGTTTTGGGAGAATGGCCATTTTCACAATGTTTGTTCTTCCTATCCATAAGCAAGGGATGTCTTTCCATTTTCTGAGATCATCTTCAATTTCTTTTTTCAGTGTATTATAATTTTCCCTGTATAGGTCTTTCACTTCTTTCGTAAGAGTAATTCCTAAGTATTTAATTTTTTTGCTTGCTAATGTGAAGAATGCAGTTTCTCTTATTTCCCTCTCTGTGATTTTGTTGTTCGTGTATAGGAATGCTATTGATTTCTGAGTATTGATTTTGTATCCAGCCACATTACTGAATTCATTTATTGTATCTAAGAGTCTTTCAATGGAGTTTAGGGGGTCTTCTATGTAGAGTATCATGTCATCTGCAAACAATGATAATTTAACTTCTTCTTTTCCTATCTTTACCCCTTTTATTTCTCTCTCTTGCCTAATTGCTCTGGCTAGTACTTCCAGTACTATATTAAATAGGAGTGGTGATAAAGGACATCCTTGTCTTGTGCCCGATTTTAAAGTAAAGGCTTTCAATTTTTGGCCATTTAGTATGATGCTGGCTGTTGGTTTGTCATAAATGGCCTTTATTATATTGAGGTAAAGACCATCTATTCCAATTTTTTGTAAAGTTCTTATCATGAATAAATGTTGGACCGTATCGAAGGCTTTTTCTGCATCTATAGAAATGATCATGTGATTCTTACTTTTGGCCTTATTGATATGGTGGATTACATTTATTGATTTACGTATGTTGAATCATCCTTGCATTCCTGGGATGAATCCCACTTGGTCATGGTGTATAATCTTCTTGATGATTTGCTGGATCCTATTTGCCAATATTTTATTGAGTATTTTTGCATCTGTGTTCATTAGGGAGATCGGTCTATAGTTCTCTTTTTTAGTTGGGTCTTTCTCAGGTTTTGGTACTAGAGTGATATTTGCTTCCAGGAATGACTTAGGAAGGATTGCTTCCCTTTAAATTTCATTGAATAATTTGAGGAGTGTCTGCATTATGTCTTCTTTGCATTTCTTGTAGAATACTGCCGTGAATCCATCTGGGCCTGTGCTCTTCTTTGTAGGTAAGGACTTAATTACATTTTCAATTTCATTAACAGAGATTGGGTTATTCAACAGTTTTACATCCTCCTGATCTAGCTTTGGTACTTCATATGTTTCTAAGAATCTGTCTATTTCTTCTATGTTATCAAACTTTTGAGAGTAGAGGTTTTTGAAATAGGTGTTGATGATCTTCTGTATTTCTATTGGGTCTGTATTGATTTCACCTTTTTCATTTCTTATTGCATGAATTTGTGCTTTTTCTTCCCTTTTTAAAATAAGGTTGGTTATGGGCTTATCGATTTTATTTATTCTTTCAAAAAACCAACTCTTTGATTCGTTGATTCTTTGGATTGTTTTCTTAGTCTCTATTGCATTGATTTCTGCTCTGATTTTTATAATTTCCTCTCTTCTTTTGGCTTTGGGCTTGACTTGCTCTTCTTTTTCTAGCTGTTTGAGGTGTATCATCAAGTTATTTATTTGTATTCGTTCTGTTTTCCTGATGTGGGAACTCAGTGCAATAAATTTTCCTCTCAGGACAGCTTTCATTGCATCCCACAAATTTCAGTAAGTTGTATCTGCATTTGCATTTTCTTTTAGGTATTGTTTAATTTCTCCTTTAATTTCTTCTGTGACCCACTGATTACTCGAGTGTGTCACTCAGTTTCCATGTGTTTGTGAGATTTTTGCAGTATCTTTTATCATTAATTTCTAATTTCAGAGCGCTATGATCTGATAACATGCAGGGGATGATTTCAACTCTTTTGCATTTGTTTAAATATGTTCTGAAAGCTAATATATGTTCTGTTTTAGAGAATGATCCATGTACTGCTGAGAAGAATGTGTATTCTGATGTTGTTGGGTGGAACATTCTGTATATGTCTATCAAATCCATTTGTTCGCAGGTTTGATTCATTTCTGTTATTTCTTTGCTCATTTTCTATCTAGTTTATCTGTCCCTTGGTGTCAATGGCGTATTGAGGTCCCCTGTTACAATTGTGTTACTCAGGATTTGAGTTTTCATTTCTGTTAATAGTTGTTTTATACAAGTGGGTGCTCTGGAGTTTGGTGCATA